CCAAAATTGGGCTAGTTACATAATGACGATCTACCGCAGTAAAAATTGTCATTTTTTTTGCACACCACTGTATATATAAAGCATACTCTTTCTTCAAAATTTTTTTTTCCTTCCTCTTCACCAAACTCTCTCTACCTAAACAACTGAAATAACTCTTTCCACTGAAATTCCGAAGAAGAAACAATAACATATCTGAGCCTTTTTTTCATCTTTTTAATATAATTCTTTTCTAGCTGATACTATACTTTACCCTTTTTTTATTTTTTTTTATTTAATAATATTATAAAAGATGTCCAATTTTGAAGAAACTCGCGTCGATTATGATGAAGGAACTCGTGAAGTAACAAACCAGATTTATCCGGGAACTCGCGTCGTTTATGATGAAGAAACTCGTGATGAAGAAGCTAACCAGACTTATCCGGGATACGATGGTATGTTCTTATATAACTTTGCAATTTGACTTAGTAAAAATTCGGTTTCTAACCAATTTTTCAACTTCCTAGAACTCGTCTCCTATTTAACGAACCAAGCTATTAAATCTTTTTAAGGTTTCCTTTTCCGTCACCGAGAAGTAGTTCTTAGTTCTTCCTCAAATACTTCTTGGCAGAACCTTGATCATCGTTGGTTTACCCGCTTTTTAAAAGAAGCATACTTGTTGCTAGATAAAAATGATTATGAAGCTTTATTTTATAAGGTGGGTTGTTTTTATTTTGCAAGAGGAAGGGTAACTCCTATTGGATCATTTATCCCTTACGAGAATTACTGTACAGCGATTGCCGGTAACCATCCCCAGTTTTTTCTGTACGGGCGCCCTGCTTAACAATTAATTTGTTCATTTTGTCGTGGTAAAGTCTGCTGATTCTTGATGAACGAGGAATTGGCTATGTACCTTCTTTATCCTAAATAAATACTGCACACTAAACAATCAATCCTCTCTCCTAACAGGTGTAAAAGGAGCGTGACGGCTTGGAAGGATATTGGCGAGAAGTTGCTGAGGAGTGCAACCTTGTGAGTACAAATTGTGATTGGTTACTCAAACAGAAAATGTAGTAGTAATTATTATGACTTTGTTGAACTAACCTATATTATTTTTAGAGAAATGATCTTTCAGTAGAGGTTGGAACCGGCCGAAAATTCTTTAACCGGTTAATAACCGGTTAAAATATTTGTTAACCGGTTAATTAACCGGTTAAAATTAACTTTGGCCAGTATTATAAATTTGGCCAGAGTTAGACAATATTTTGTCAATCATAAAAATCTTAATTCTGGCCGGAAATTGAATTTCGGCCGGATTTAAATTCATCTATTTTAACCGGTTAATTAACCGGTTAAAAATTAACCGGTTCCAACCTCTATCTTTTAGTATACAAGGCTGAAAGAAAACGTCTCAATGCCGTCATAAAAGAGGATGAAGATAAACTTCGTGAAATTGCAGGTAGATGGTCGGATATTAAGAAGGATCTTGTAGACGATAATACCTACAACCCTTCAAGGACTCTAGATAAAGGAAAAGGCAAGGCCGTTGCCGTTTTTTCAAGTGATGATGCTGGCCCTTCCACATACAGTAGAAGCACCCTCCTCTTTGATCATCATGTAAATGAAATTTATATAATTTAACTTTTTTTTATTATGCCTGAGCTGAATTGATTTTTGTAGGAAGAGTATGGGATTAGTAATCTGAAAATAGGCGAACCAGAATTAGTTGAAGGTGTCAGGACATTAAATATTGCGCACCCAGATCTTGGTAAGTTAAGCGTAATATCACCATTAACTAGCATAACTTTAAATCTTAAAGTTTGAATATATATAATATAAAATCAAAACAGTTCGAAGGCCATTGGTACGGGTAGATAGAAAACCGGTACGGTACTATTCGCCAGACCAGTACGGTACCGGTTTTCCATATACTCCATTGGTACCGAACATTACACGAGAAAATAACTTCAAAAGAAAGTGCTGATTAATTACAAGGAAACCCAAGAAAATGACAGAGAGAACCTGTAAGTATAATTTAAATTATTGATTTTTCCATCTACTTACTATATATATATCTATCTATATGATTCACGAACTGAATCATTACCTCCTCCTTTACAATTACCGTTACCTTCTCTGGATCTTCTGGAAGTGGATTTGAACCATTTTGATTAATTATGCCTGATGGCTACTTGGATAATAACATTGACGAAGAGGTATGCTGAATATAGATAGTATGAACAAATTTATATTCTACCTTTAAAGATATAATTAGCATTTGCTTTATTTATCATGTAGGCTGATGAACCACTGAGGAAGAAGGTCAAATGCTTGAAGTGTCCCATCCATTGCATGGGTATTTTAAAATCAGTTTATCATCAAATTAAGACCGAATTTGTTTGATAACTATCAAAAATAATTAATAGTTTTGTATAGGACACTAAAGAAGGACGGAAGAAATAACAGAAAACAACTGAAGAAGAACAGTAGGAAAAAGGATTTCCTGTTACATCCACCAGGAACCTTTTTTTTTAATAATATTTGTTTATGTTATTTTATTAGTCCGGAACGTAAACGAAGGACTATTAAATACTATGCAACTTAATATATTTGTCAGTCTGTCCGCCCGCTTGTTGTTTAAGTCGATGCAATTTTGTTTACTACATTTGTCTGTTATGCACGTGATTGTATACCTTGTTGCTGATCGATAAAACACCATATTTATCGTTCCGTTACCTAGTTTATTTATTTATTGTACAGAAGAGATCCACCAAGAAAATAGAAATACTACTTAAGTTTTTACAAAATATGTATTTTTTAAATTTTATATATATACTCAATAATTTTCAATAAAAAAAAAAGCTTTATTAGCTTCATAAACTGAACATACTTTTATCAGAGTTCAACCGTGATTTAAGTACGATATTATATAATATTTTACCTCGACTCAACAGTGATATGATCTTGACTCATGTATAGTAATTTTATAAGCAGATACTGAATCTAAAATAATTATTTTAACTGGTTTACTAATCCTTAAACTAAATCAACTTATCATGTATTAATTTATAAAAAATTATCGAGAGGTTAGAGAAAAACCAATGACGAAATATTGTTAAAATGTTTATTTTTTAAAAAGTAAAGTAAATATCTAAGTTATTTTTATTTTACTAGGCTAACAGGAACTGTTGTGTGTCCGGAGCTAAGGAACTTTAAAATATAATTATTAATGCAATAAGAAAGAAAATAAAGTCGAATTGACAAAATCACGTGCTGGACAGACGGACATGTAGATTGAACTGAAAAGTCCTTCGCTACGCTCCGGTAAATAAGCAAGGATAAAATAAAAAATGAGAAATTTTATAAAGAAAATTCATTGAATAAAATAGAAAAGTTGATAAATCGAATTGTTATTCCATTTGAAAAACTGGGTAAGATAACATTCATACATTAAAATATAGAAACGATTTATGCAAAAACAGTAAATAACTAAATTATTTCCTTTTCATTTATAGCATTGTAATTACTTCAGGTATACCAGTTACATTCCTAAAAAAAAAAATTTATTTTATTTTATTTATATTTTTTAAAGTGCGATAGTTTCGTATTTATATTAAAGTATTACAAAAAGTAAAACAAAAACAAATATACAAAACTCTTTCTAAAGACTTTGATAATCTGAGCATCAACACCCAGTGAGTCCACTTTGTATAAAACTATTAAAAAAAATATAGAATTTCTTTTTGTAAGATTTTTTTATCAAAAGTATTTATTTTCATTTGTTAAGCAGTAAAAATTATTTGTTTCATTGGTTTATCCTTTTAACATTACATACATTACCCGAAGAAAATATCTGAACACAGTATTTTATGAATGTTATGCAAGTTTATTATGATATAAAATAAATATTTATATAACTATATAGTGCATGTTTAATGCATTAATTGGATATTGTTATATTGATCGTTTTTATGGTTAGTGTTTTTATTAGTGTAAATCAGATTTCTAGACTTTGTGTAACAAAACAAATTTCCTTTTTCTTAAAAAATCTTTTTTTTTAGGTGATTTATATAATGTCAACGACTGGCCATTATTATATACTTTATTACCGTAAAGCACATGTACTACCAGAACCTAGTTCATTGGCTTTAATAGATATGGTTACCGGTATCTGGTGTAGATATTGAGCGTAGTTATAAAAGTATTTTATCAGATAGAAGAGTTGCACTTAAAAAGAGAGTATTCAAATGCTTAATTTTCTTTATTTTAATCTTGGTAATAGTACTAATGTTTATAGTTTATTTAGTGATGAATAGTATAAAATGTAGTATTTGATTATATAGATAAATAAATTTGTATGCAAAATTCAAATAATTACAAAAAATTATTTATTTTACTGTTGCGATCTATTAAAAATCTAAATACTAAAAAATTTTTGGCCGAATTTATGATCACGATTTTTACGATTTTCAAGATTTTTACCAAGACTTTTAGGTCATCACTCCAACAAATTCTGGACACCCTAATCTATACAAAGGTCAAATAATTTAGGCCACATCGGGAAAATTTTTTTGACGCGTATTCGTAGTAACCGAAGGTTTAATATTTACGTAGATATTTCTTCGGAGTACTTTGACCGTAATGCTTCGCAATTCAATAATTTTAGCAAAAAATGTAAAATATAAATAATTGATATTAAACCTTTCATGGAGCATGCAAAGAAATTATTTCTAAACAGAACTAGATGCGGTACTACACCATAATAATCTCTCAACATAAATATTGCAGCCTTATCAACAAGACTTAATCAACGATATTTTTGGAAGTGTTAATGATTAATGATACTTTTAAAGTTTATAATTAAATCAATATATACAAATTCATATTAATAAAATACGGAAAATATACTCAAAACAATATACTTTATTATCTATTGATTTAAAATAATTCGTAGTTATATTCTATATTTAACTGTGTTTTTCTTTAATAGCGGGAAATACCTTTTAGACATATACTGAATAAGGCTTTCATAGGAGGAAATATTTATCGTCAGCGGTATTGAAATTTATTTTATCTGAACATCTTGAACATCTGATTCGCATCCTATTAATTTTCAACGATCAAAAGTTTTCATAAAAACGTGTAATTTATTTATTTATTAGAAATATATAAGAACCTTAAGATATAATAAATTATCGTAAAATGAAAAAAAAGCTAAATTTATTGTGGGCCAATTAAGTTTCTTATTATTGTATTTTTTATTTTTATTTTTTTTTTTTAAAAAAAAAAAAGAAATCAAAATAATCTGCTTTGTATTTCTTCGTTTAAATAAAGAAGTCACAATTAAATCAGTCCGTTGAATCAAGGGTACAGTATAATACAATTTATCATAACACGAAGAAGGAAAATAGCTTATGAATTTAACAGACATTTTCCTTTAAATAAAAAAAAAAGCTTATATATTTGTAAAAAAAAAAAAAAAATACTTCTCAATGATGGTTTGAATCATAAGTAAAACTTCAAATCACAATTAATTTAAAAATAACTTTTATTTCTGTTTATCTCTAAACTTTGCACATTTTTATCTGTAACCTTTCCTTATAATTCCAAACAACAAAGAAAGAAGTTTCTTCTGATAATGATACCCAAAAATCAGAAAGTTTGTGTAAGCTTTATACTCGCAGCAAATATTGGGTTATGCTCATCCCTATTGACAAAGAAACAAGTGATCGAATCGGACCTATTTGCCTCAACACGGATTATCAAACATTTGGTTAAAACAAAACTCGCAATGGCAAGTGAAATAAAAAATTTAAACCTAGTTGATATATAAATTAATTTATAAGTATCATCATATACCAAGCAAACATGAACTTCATCTAAGGAAGTGATGGAAAATTATGTCATTACTTAGAAACGATTTCCGTTTCCCTAGTTATATTTTGTTAACTTTATACTTGCTTATAATTTCCAGCTATATTTTCGGAATATCTACCTTTAATCAGATATTTAATATCTTGTAGATATTATTTCATTATCGTTATGTATTCAAGTTTCATATAATTAATTTTAATTTTATAAATATTTTTCAAGCGGTTTCGAACACAAAATACAATTGTACTCTTATCGACTTTTGTATTTATTGTCATTATGAACAGAAAATCAGGAGATAAATCGATTTCATGATCAATTTGATACATAAAAGTACTAAGACTTGAAATAAAATATAGAAAAATGTAACCATCATAAGATCAAATTTATGCAACATGATTTTTTTTTTGTTTTATTTCTATTTATGTATTAACAAAATTTTAATTTCAGTTTCTTTCAAAAAGTAAAAAAATATTCTTAGAAAAACAATTGGCGTTCTATTGTTCTAAGATCTCCGGATCAAATTGCAAGATCCAGAAAATCAACACAGGATAGGGCATGCTCTAATCACAAGAAAATTGCGAGAGGGAATGAAATATACACGCCGATATACAGTATATATATAATTTTCGCGTAACAATCATATATATTTTTTTTTTTTTGTGATCTTTTTCTTGTACATAAAGTTAAAATAAATACATTACGTAAGAAAAATACCCAAGTAATCAAAGTAATCAAAGTCAGAAAACCTTATTTCTTAAACATTTAACTAATTATTAATAAAGATGTAGATATTTCCTATTTTCATTTTGCACGAATATACAGTATGTCTATGTATGGACAAAGCATTATGTTTCCATTTCATAAAAAACAATATCACTTGAAATGTGGTTCTTTGTTTAATTTTTAATCAAATTTAATATTCTATAATATACGGTATAAAATATAGAGCATTTTTATTTTGCGATAATCCTATATTCATTGTTTGATTCAAAAAGGTTTTTTTTTCTTACGAGATCAAAATCATTGTTACAATCATCATTTCCCATTGTCGTTACAAAAAAGAAAAGTTAGGAAAAAAAAAATAGAATATTTTATTTTAGTCATTTGATC